GGATGCTGACTTGCAGAAACACGAAGCTACCATCAAGGACATAATTTTGGTGGCCCAGGGTGAAATGGCTTTGGAGGTTTTCCTCAAACAGCTGCGCGAGTATTGGCAAAATTTCGAACTGGATCTAATAAATTACCAGAGTAAAACAAAACTCATCCGGGGTTGGGACGATCTGTTTAACAAGTTGAAAGATCACATCAATGGCATCAGTGCAATGAAGCTTTCTCCATACTACAAGGTAGGCTTTTTTCTGTTTTGTTCTTCCCTTTTCCGCGTTTTCTCATCATATACTTAGGAATTCGAAGAAGATGCCGCAGTGTGGGAGGAAAGACTTAACCGCATCACGTCGCTGTTCGACGTCTGGATCGACGTGCAGCGTCGTTGGGTCTATCTCGAGGGCATATTCAGTGGCTCCGCGGACATCAAAACATTGCTGCCCGTTGAAACGTCAAAGTTCAAAAGGTGAATTTGTTGGAATAGTTTCTGCTGAATGGGAATTTGCCATTGTTTGAACTTGTACACGTATGTTGCTCCAAGTACTGCATATCTGGGCTCGTATTCATAATCAAGACCACAAATCCAGTTTGCTTTAGGAAAATGCATAATATTTGCATATCTGATTTTGATAAACCCGTTTATACTTAAACAGTCATTTTTTCTTTCAAAACTAGTTGCAAAACCAATCAAAAGTCTTTCCATGAAGAATGCCTGTGAGGTCGAATTAGGGAATAATTTATAACTGTAATATTGCTGTATTTCCACCAGTTTGGTTAAATTACGAATTTAAGCATACCAAACTGCAGAGGTACGGACGGGGTTAATGGTGTGGGCTTTAGAATTATCTGAACGCCAGTCGTCCATACTCGGCCCCCTGTGATTCCAAATTAGGCCTCAGCGATTTGACTTTTATAAAATCGGTTTTTATAATTGTACCTTGACAACAAGTCAATTATGACCAATGATGACTCGACATATCAATAATTTCTGTAACAGGCAGTTATATGCAGAGCAAGTCACGTAAGAAACATGAAGACCATAGAAATTATGAATGCCGTAAATAATAAAGAGTAGAAAGTAATATATTTAAAAAAATGTTCTACTTTACAACGATACTGCTATAGTTAAAAATTGATAAGAATCATTACAACAGGGCTGTGAAGCAACACTGCACCCGCCCTCTGCTTCAGTCTTCAAGGAGAACCGTTTGAGCACGCCTCTGCTCCATATTACTTACAGTGGATAGGAGGTTTGAGCACGCCAATTCGTGGTTATGACTGGAGCAGAATGACTGTTCTCACGGCGTAATGCGTACTAACCTGCAAGCGTTAGAATAATACATAAACATGAAGCTAATCAATATATTTTATTTACTGTCATAATGATAATCGTTATGTTAATGTGATGGTTGTGGTCAAAGTTATTTTTGGTTTCAATTGCTTAGTTAAGCTTACGCTTCAGCTTGCAAAAACTAACTTCTGCCTTATAATGCAAAGCGAAACATCTTTGAGAAGAACATATAATTTTGCTCGAACGCGATTTGTTCGATCCGACACCAAGATGCCCTGCTCAAACAATTCCGCAGGTGTCTTGATGCAAAGGAACTTTGTCAAGAAGGCTTCATAATCTGATTAAGTTACAAGATGCTGTTCTTGCCGGTTGTACCAGAAAGGTTTGTTTGAAAACTCTACCTCAGTTTGCATTCGTCCTGAATATAGGGCAACTATTTGCGAGCGTAATTGCAGTTACTGCTTATTTCAAAAAGGCATGACGATGTCAGAATTATAATTTATTTTAAAATTTTTCTCTTTTCATAGTGAGTCATACAGCATAAGGTATCTATGGTTGAAAAAAATACGGTCAGTCGAATGATAGTTTTTGTCGATTAATCGGTTAAATAATTTCTGGGCGACAAAGCTTTTCCAGTCCGCGCAGAGTTCGTGCCATTTGTCATGGTGATATTTTCTCACGACTGGACGGTTAATGACTAATTGACACGAGAGTGTGTTTTTCTCAATAATGCCGGAAACATTCTGACCATCTTGGGGCGT